ATGCGGATGAATTTTTCATGTTGATTTTGCGATAGGTCGTGAGAAGAAATATCGTAGGCGCCGAAAACATTAGCCTATCCAATGCTGCTGGCTAGGCCTAGCCTTACCTCGATTTAGGTTCTGTTATCACACATAAAAACGGCTGACATGATATTTTCCGTTGCTAGTATTGACACTTGTGAAATATAAAATTTCATAAGAATTACTTCAACTTTGTTAAAAAACTGATTCTGACCGAGATTTTGACACTTAAACAAACATATCTCAGCCTAACCGAACGACCGCATTGTGCGAGATGCGAAGTACAAAAAGTAATCTCATTAGAGAGGGCGCTCTTTATTGACTGTATAAAGTATACATAAAAGCGAGAGTATTCCAGTGGATGCGATCTACAACCTCTGAATTTGCCTAGTAACGATGAATTCGTCGAGAAAATGGTAATATTTTATGAGAAATAGTCTGTATTTCTCATTTTTAAAAATTCTTTTGCGTAAAACTAGAATTCATGCCAATATTTTTCCATGATTTATAATAATTGGAGTAATGCAAATGCATATTTTCTAAAAAAAGTCATTTTTAGTGAAATTTTGCCGGGAATGGGGCTTTAAGCTTAAAATTTGGTACATTGTCATTCCACATCAACAAAGAATTAATGAATTCCCAAAATACAGGTTTGGACAAACCAGTTTAAAATTTTAATGTATTTTCGTTCATTTCATGAGCTGTAATTGCAGGAGAGGCATCAGTCTGTGTAGATTTGGAAACCTTATGAACATTACAATCCGAAGCATAATTATGATCTGTCTTGGCAGGATCACACCACTGAACACAGGCATCTTTGGTTTTCAGTTCAGTGTTCCGTTCCAAAGAGGAACACGATTGAATCATGTTGACATCAGTAGGAGTTTTTTTGGTTTCTGAGTGTTCTTTCATTTCTTCAACTGTATTTACATCTCATACTCTAGGAGCAGGTCTACCAGGACATAATGGTTTCTGTTAAAAAAAAAAAGACGACAATAATTATTTCTTGATGTGCCAAGTATACAGTTTGCCCTTCAATTCAAGACCACATTTGAGACTTGAATATTTGGGGTGGTCTCGGGGTTCGGTCTCCCTATAGAGGGTTAGCTTGGTGTTAATAGATGGGAGATTGTAATTTGGTTCTTTGGAAAAGTGGTCTAGATTTAGAGGGGTCTCGAATTGGAGGGTGCACTGTACTTTTATAATGTTCTTTTAAATTAGTAGTACAGCACCCAATTAACCACAATAATCTGGAATTATTAGTGCTTTCAGCAATAAGATCGTGCTATCTCAATGAATACTCTACAGTAACTCCACATACAGTAACTAGAAAACAGAGAGTAACTTTTTTAAATTTTTGAGATTGAGTTTAATTCTCGGTCAGAATTCACATAACCTCAAAATACAGTACATACTGTATGCAAACAGGCAGAATAAACTTTTGATTTTTAACTTACGTAATTATCGTATCCCATGTTAATGACTGGGTAAGGATGATCCTTTGTTGGCTCTCCGTCAACGAAATGAATGAATAGAACATAGCTGTAAAAGAAATCATATTTTAACAAAACATTCATAATCAATTTATATATATATATATAGGCCAGTGCATAAAGCTTAATATGTATACACTTCACATTAACAGGAAAAGCAAGAGAAAAACAAAACCAAGCATAAAAACATATGAAAAAAAAGTTGTAGGCCTAGTTACAAACAATTCGTTTGAATTAAATTATGTGGCCTAGACGAAAATAAAACAAAATACTGTACATTTACTCACTCGACTATCATTAGTGGGTTTGAAATTTTTCCGTTTAATGTTCTTCAGCCATTGCCATAAATTTGCTGCAGAATCATCTCTATGGCCATTTAGCAGACGGTGCACTTTATAAGGTTGCAAACATGGGCACTCTGAATGTCTGGCATTGTTATACAAATAGAGTTTTTCCATTCTGCAATCTTTTTGCTATTATTTTTACAGCTGTACACAGCACAAACTTTGCCAGGCCCCACATTCTTTCTTTTCTTAATCTTACTCAATCGCACACTGGTGCAAATATCTGGCAAAAAAGAGAGGGAAAAAAAACACTTCAAAAAGTTAATCATTTATTCAGGCCTGGCCTACCTACGGCCTACCTACGGCCTAGGAGTAAAGTAAGAAGATGAACAAAAAAGTGTTAAATATAAAAAAACAAAAAAACAAAAAAAAAACACATAGGCCTAGGCCTACACACAAAAGTGAATAAGTAGGCCTATATAGGCCTCCTTTTAAAAAAAATTTTACACTGAAAATTCATAGACATCTTTTCTCATACATGGGCATATAGGCCTAGGCTATGGTATGCCTTTAGCCTATTTCAATGGTTTACAAAATGCAAGTAGATCTTACCGATTAATCCACCAAAACTACCTAGCTAGGCCTAGGGGTTCCTGTGTGGTAGAAACAACAGCAGGTCCACTACTACTACTACTACTACCCCCTACAGCAGTACTGTCTCAGTATGCCTGGCCTAGCCTAGGCCTAGGCCCTAGTAGCATACCTACCAAGTCTCCCGCATTTGGCGGGAGACTCCTGCTTTTCGCCCTAACCTCCAGCTCTCCCACCACTAGCCTAAAATCTCCAGCTTTTCTAATAATCTCAAGATTTTTTATTAAAACCCACAATTTAATACAAAAATATCCAAAACGTGACAATTCTGTAGTTTTATAAGGCATATAAAATCTACGAAAGTTCTATCGCTTCGCGAAAATACATGCCGTTCCGATAGTAAACAATGTATTCGTGTAAAATTAACACTGGTGGCGCTGTACACATTACGTCATTTCTATTTTAACTTTACAACCGCGATCATGCATATCAATACTTTCAGCGAACCAGAATCCACGATGGTTTTACAAAGGGTACACTCTCAAGTATCCTAACCATCAAGCTGGCACAACACTTACCTGTCCATGCCTATGAAACACCAACAGAAATTTTGAAGAAAGCTAAGGGTGCAACTTGGGCATACAACCAGTTACATTCATCAAAAGAGAGCAAATGATGCTTCAGCCTCTCTTTTACATATATCTCCTTTTTAGTTTAACTTGTTTTACCAAAAGAATTGTTTGTCAAATGTAAAACGTGTATTTGAGTATTTTGAAAATTTTGTTGAAAAAAATAAATAAAGTTAAGAGTTTTAACACTGAAATAAAGCTATAGAATTTTATTTTTCAAAAAATGTTAGTATATATTACCCCATTTTTAAGATTTAATTTGAGCACTAGAGATCTGCTCAGAGTGCACCAGAGAGCATCTAGGCCTAAAAATTTCCAGGGCCCTGGGCGGGCCCTCGACCCACGCCAAAATTGTTTCGTTCCTGTGCAAATCTCCATCCACAGCCAAACTCAAACTTGGCATGTATGTAGTAGTAGTTATTATAGTAGGATAGGCTTATGATGTTATGTTTTAAATTACAGACACCGGAATCACTGAAGCTCACTGGTGACTTGTAGTAGAAAGACTACTGAATACTCGTTTGATCAATTTAGGTGCAAACTTTTAAACTAGGCTACAGATAGAATCGGTTATCTGCTGCTGCACGGTTGGTTACCCCACCGCGTTACAAAGGCACGTTTGTCCTGCTGATCACCTAGGCCCAAGTAGTAGCAACCGAGTTAGGCCCTAAGCTAGCTAGGGCCCTAAACCAAGTCCTATCTTTGTTGCAAAAATACACGAAAAATATACTTATCTCATTGTGAGAGCTGTGATAAATTATGTAGGCGTAGGTGACGACTGACGGGATTATTCTATCAAATTAAAAAGCCGCATATCTCAGTACTCCTCCTCCGTTGATAAACAAAACCAAGGAACTCGGCATTACATAAAATTACAGTATCCCCAATTTCGCAAATGCCACCCCCCAGTAATGGCGCCGACAATAGAGGGCGACACTCAAAAATGCTCTCTTGGATAGGTCTATAGTAGAGCCTCGTTTATTCAACAACAACCACAGTGCATAGCACTGTTACAGATAACCATACGCACGCACGCATGTCGCGGCAAGTGTGTATTACTACTCTCTATAAAGTAGTACCAAAATACCATCAGTATATAACATTTCTCCCTTGCCAACTTTTATGTAATCTTTAGATTAACATAATATTAAGACCATTTTAACAACTAAACAATTAAACTTCAAAACAGAACAATGCATACTTTCACTGTATATGCTTTCAACACTCGTTAACCATAACATCAAATAGTTATGCCTCAATTAAGATAGAGTACTTAATGTTTAACATTCCACTATGTACCTTTTTGTTTGTTTACGTGTTCTGATGGACTTTCTTATATTTCAGGCTTATTGCTTACAGCTTCACCTGGTTTATCATTTACAACCATAGTCCTATCATTATCCTTATCGTCAAACAACTTTTCCTATAATTCATCCGGTACTTCAGGTTCTTCTAATTCACCTTTCTCTACTAATGGTTCTGAATACCGAATCATAATTTGATCTGCATGTCTCAACCACAGTTGACTTCCTACACTCACTTGATACCGTAATGGACCAAGTTTCTTTACAATTACACCAGCAGACCATTTCATCTTATCCTTCCCTCGAAAGTCTCTTGTGTATACCAAATCATTTACTTCAAAGACTCTCATTCTAGACTTAGACTTTTGCATCTCATTATGTAACCTGTTTCTTACAGATTCATTTAAATTTGGTCTCAATATATCCAATCTAGACCTTAAAGGACGCTTCATGAATAACTGGGCTGGCGTCTGCTTAGTTAAGTTATGCTCTGAGTTGCGATAGGCTAACAGGAACCTACTTAATCTAGTATTAATTGAGCAACAATCATGTTTGGACGCCTTAAGACCCTGTTTCATTGTTTGGACGAACCTTTCTGCTTGTCCATTTGTTGCAGGTTGCCCTGGACATGAAAACTTATAGATAATCCCATTTTCCTTCATAAATTTTGCAAATTCGTGAGAGGTAAGCTGAGGACCATTGTCTGATACCACAATTTTAGGTAACCCATATCTACTAAACAATGACCTTAATTCTTCAATGTTTTTCTCTGATGTAGTAGAACTCATAATTACAGCTTCTGGCCATTTTGAGAAGGCATCAACAACGATTAAAAACATTAATCCCTCACACGGACCGGCAAAGTCAATATGGATTCTCTCTCACCTTTCTGTAGCAGGTAGCCATGGGTGTAATGGAGCTAAAGGAGGTTTCCCTTGGATTCGATGACACGAATCACATTTCTTAGCAATCTCTTCAATCTGGCTATCAATACCCGGCCACCAACAATACGACCGTGCTAGACTATTCATTTTCACTATGCCCATATGGCCTATATGTAGATCGTTAACAACTCTAGTTCTCAGTTTAGGTGGAATAATTACGCGCATACCCCATAAGATGCAATCGCCTTCAATCGTTAACTCATCTCTACGCTGATAGTACGGCTTCAGATCAGTATCATAATTAAGCCAACCATCAATTAAATGTCGCTTAACTCTAGATAGAATTCTATCTTTGTTCTCATGTTTAATATCAGCATGACTTACAGGTAAGTTTTCCATTAGATCAATACTAACCTCAATAGGTTTTAATTGGGGCGCAGGGTCAATAGGTAGTCTAGAAAGACAATCGACATTAGCATTTGCCTTCCCACTTCTAAACTTAATCTCATAGTCAAAACCAGCTAAATACAACGCTCATCTTTGCATTCGCTCTGCTGCGAGGACAGGCAATCCAGTCTTAGGTCCAAATATCTTTGTAGGGGCTTATTATCCGTTTCTAAAATAAATTGTTTCCCATAGACATAAGGGTAAAACTTCTTTAATGCAAACACTATGGCAAGAGCTTCCCTTTCAATTTGTGGATAATTTCTTTCTGTTTTGTTGAGAGCCCTTGACGCGAACTTTATTGGTCTTTCTTGACCATTGTCAATATGAGACAATATTGCTCCCACTCCCTCTGGGGAAGCATCTGTCGTCGCCTTTAATGGGAGATCAGGGTTAAAGTGTACTACAAATCCTGAATTCGCTAAAGCTAACTTTGAATTTTCAAAAGCTTTCTTGGCTTTGGCAGACCATTGGAACTTTGACCCCTTTTCCAACATTACATGTAATGGCCTCAGTAATACTGTGTTGCAGATTGTTCACACATAAGATGAATCCCTGGTTTTTTACATAATTTACTATTTTAAGTCGCGTCTGATATGGGGGAATATATTGATATCCTTCATGTTTTGTTACTTACTGTCACACACCATTTGCCTTCAATTAGTTCGGCTAGTTTGAATTCTTGCAATGTCATATTGGTAATGACACCAGATCTGCATGCATTTCGCATGCAGAGTATTGAAATTATGTAACCTCGTAGGAAAACTGTTTCTTCATTTGTCATCTTTGGTTGATTTTTCATTGTTGTTATCTTTTCTGGAAAAAAAAATTATCAGATTTTTATTTTATAGTTTTTGTTTTTGTTTTTTGTTTTTTTTTGGTGATATTTGGCATTTAAGAGCATTAGTACATTCCAACATATGGACCTTTACTACTGTACACTCATGTTATAGCTAATCATGCCAAGAAACGATCTCAGCTGCCCAACATCTTTGGGTAATGGTATCGAAAGGATTTGATCCGTTTTGATCTGACTCTTATGTACCCCCTCCTTATCAATAACATGTCCAAGGAATGATACAGAGTCCCGCATGAACTCACATTTCTCCTTTTTGAGTTTCAAACCGTATTCGCTTAACCTGGTCAACACCTTGTTCAAATTATCTAGGTGCTCTCTATTGTTTCTACCAGTTATGATAATGTCATCTAGATATGTCTGAACACCATTTAGTCCAGTTAAAACATTAGTCATCGCATTTTGCCATATAGCTGGCGCTGTAGTAATGCCAAATGGAAGACGATTTGGTTTGTAAAAACCTTTTTCCATAATGACACTTAATATTGATTTATACTCTTCACACAACTCCATTTGGTTATATGCCTGTGCTAAATCTAGTGTTGTGAACTTAGTACCCCCAGCTAGGTTTGCCAGTATGTCATCCACATTAATATTTGGGGGAGCTACTGGCTTTAATAAGGGATTTACCGACGGCTTATAGTTCCCACAAATTTGGACATCCCCAGATTTCTTTCTGACCGTCACGATGGTACTACACCATTCGGTGTGGGTAATGAGGGACATTATGCCCTGCTGGACTAACCTGTCAATTTCATCATTGACCTTGGTCTTGAGTGCATACGGTACCCGGTGGCACTTACTTACATATGGTTTGGCATTTTCTACTAATTCTATGTTGGCTTTAATACCTTTAAGAAGACCCAGTTTGCCATCAAACAGACTCTTATGTTTGTCTAGGACTTCTCTAGTTTATTAACGTACTGAGTACCATCTACCACTTCTTTCCAATCTACCTTTATACTACTTAACCAATCTCTACCAAACAACAACTGCTTTGCTTCATTTACAATGTAAAGTTCAAGTAACTTACATTGGCCCTTGTAAACCACATTAACTTTGGCTTTGCCTTTTGGTTTAACTTTTTCACCAGTAAAACTCTTAAAACTTAATTGAGTATCACTTAACTCTAAATTTGGAAATGTATCGTAAAACACATGCTCAGGGATTACTGTATAAGTAGCCCCAGTGTCCAGTTCAAAGTTCAAGTCCTTGCCATTCACTTCCACTTTTATCATCATTGGTTGTACAGGTTGCGCATTAAGTCTTTATCATTTCAAAAACAGGCAGACCAAAGATCAGCCTGCACATGCAATTTAGTTAAGAATGTTGATATGGACTCACCACTGCTTTGTTTTAATCTTCTAAACTTGTGACGCTCATAGGTTTCGTTAATTTTAGGTTCAAAATACGAGTCTAGCTTCTGCAAAGTTTTCTGGTATTCATCCGGAACCTCTGCTCCTTCCACATTTGGTTGCTCTGGTAACGATGCGAAAATTTCTTGCAATCGTGGCCCGCCTGCGTGTAGCAGTATGGCTTCCTTTTGTTTACTATCTGTTACGCCCCTAGCAGTGATATAAATATCCACAGATCTCTTCCGAAGTTTCCATCGGGCTGACTGAGTTGTGGGGTCTCCATCTATATTAAAACTATGGTCCAAGCTAAGGCCCATATCGTGGCCTGAATCTAGACGTATCATAGCTAGGCCCGGTAAGCGGCTTACCTCGTGTCTATAATCCAACGAAGATGGCGTTCTCTCTTTAAGAAAATAATAAAACTTTTCCAGCTAGTTGCGCTTCTACTAAGCTAAATTGTCAGTATTTGATGGGACAGTTAGGTTTCATATATCCTCGTCGCCAAATTGTTACGTCTGGATAGCACATATCCATGCAAACACGCTCACAAATAAGCATTAAGACTGACACAATAAACACACAGGGATGTCACCAGCTTTTTGGAGTGCCCGTCGGCGATCATCCCCCGTTTTCCCGGGGGGGGGGTCGCCATTCCCCGTTTTCCCTGGGGGGGGGGTCTCCGTAATCGTGGAAGCTCTTAAAAACCAAAAGGCCTAAGTCAAGCAGGCCTAGGCCCAAGGCTAGCTGACGCGATTTTTTTAGGCTAGGTCCAGGTAGGTCTTGGCCAGAATTTGAGGAATGCAACAAAACAGATGAAGATGAGACTTGTTTACATTGTTTATATTTTTCATAATGTTCATAATTTCAAAGTCTCAATCTTTTTTGTGCGTGTGTTTTTTTTTTTTGTATGTGTCTGAAATAATCTGAATTACCGTACTCGCGCGAATAAGCGCCCGGGCGCTTAAAATATTTTTTGCACTTTTTGAGGGGCGCTTATTCAAACGGGGCACTTATCAAAACAGAGTGGAAATTGAGGGGGCGCTTATGGAAATAGATGAAAATCGAGGGGTTCTTATGAGAACTTATTAAATTCAAGAGGCATATTTTGAATGAAAAATGATTATAAGGATATCAGGAAACCGCAAATTACGAATGGTGGTGCGGCGAAAACTTTCGTCCAAAGAGCATGGCTTGTCATGACAAGAAAGTTGTGAGTACTGTACATGTATTACATAACAGCAGAATAGCAGATGAAATTAGTGGTGGTGGTTAGCTTGTTGGCCATCGGCTGATTGAGATCAGCATAATGGCATGATCATTGCATGTTTTCTTGAAAACTCAGATGAGAATGTGTTCTGTCTCTTATACACATCTAGATGTGTATAAGAGACAGAATCTACTGGTTGGAAATATACTGTCTGTCCAGGGAGCTCTCATCTGTCCAAGATAAATATCCTCATTTTGATATTGACTAAAGGAGAATGTGATTCCACTCCACACCTCAAATCATGCCAACATCCACACAGTCCGGGATTAATTGAGTTATTGAGTTTATTCAAATTAGAAGGGGCGCTTATTCAAACGGGGGGAAATTTTCACGTTGAACTTTTTATTGAACAGTTTAATATTTTAATGTTTTCCGTAAGTGCAATAGATATTCTTCAATATGTGTAATATGTATTGTAGTTTAATGATTTAATGTTTTCGTAAGTGCAATTGATGTTTTATAATATTTGTATTCTTTGTTCTTTGTATTAATATTGTATTCTTTGTTCTTTGTAATAATATTTACAATAATGTAGTAATAATGTAATTTTTTTGAATTGTATACTTGTTCTTTGTATTAATAATATTTACAATAATGTAGTAATAATGTAATTTTTTTGAATTGTATACTTGCTTAGTTTCTACTTTTGTAATTATCATCTCAATTCATTTTACTATGCCATGATGATTTAATAAAATATACCAGAATATACTTACTGTAGGCTTAATTAAATTCAATAGTTGACATGCTTTGTTTTAGATTAAAAAATAATAATGAACAAATCCCGGTGACAAAACGTCGATCCGACTGTACCCAGCCGCATTGTTTGCCGTAAATTTCACATGTTTGACGATTACCACGATGAATGTGTATGTCACTGATTCATGTGCACTCATTTATTTATTTTTTGTCCATTTACACATTATATATCAATTATAACTTAAAGTGAAAAACTTAAAATACAAAATGAAAACAAAGTAAAGAAATAAAACATAAATCAGTTTTTCGTAAATTTTTAATAATCTTCCTGCCCC